CATTTTATTTGACTATGACTACTTACTAATTACAAAAATGTCCACACATGACCACTAAAGGACAATCTAGTCAAGTGGCATCTTATATTATCATAGGACAAGTCATTTACAAACTGTTTATAATTCATGTACGTTTATAATGACTATCAAATTACAAAAGTCTACACACAACTTATCATATATTACCCTCCATTTTTTTTTCAGGTATACTGATGTACTGTGAAACAAATCTAGCTACTTGTAGCTAGACAACTGACACATTCTTAACTCCTCATATCAAATTAATTAAAGTGGGATTTTTTAATTCACAAAAGAACATAATGAATAGAGGGAACTTGTGTGATTTGATTTTTTTCTTCGTCAAGTCTGTTCACTCTACGGAAGTATTTAGATTTTTCCCCCACGTGTTTCTGTTTTCTCGCAAGTTGTCAAGATATGAAATTTTCACGTGCAGTACAGGAAATTATGCACACCATCAGAACGTTTCCGGCTCTACTTCAAGATAATTTAACTATACATATACATGTAAGTAGAATGTGACTTTTAATACAGGCACACAATTTTTTATACTGTTGCATTGAAAATGTTCATTGAAAGCCCCCCCCCCCCCTCCCCATACTTTTTGTTGCTGTATGGTTAAATGATTGTAACGTGATAATGTACTTATACAATTTGGTAATTTGGTTGCAAAAAAAGTTGGAAATTAACCCCCTCATTTTCCCCAAACAACTTTTCACTATTAAAAATGCTCATTGAAAGCCCCCACCCCCACCACCACCACACACACACACTTTTTGTTGCGATACGGTTAAATCATTGTAATGTGGTAATAAAATTTGGTAATTTGGTTGAGTTGGAGCATAACTTCTACAATTAAACCAGATTTCATTTAATTCAGACTTGAACTGTAGCATTATGAAGCAGCATGTCTTAGTCTACGGCCAAGACAAAAAATTTAATGCATTTATTTTTTTCAGTCTCCATTACGTAAAAGAAAAAGTGAAAGGGCAAGACATTTTATAAAAACAGGAATTCCTCATATGTTGATTATTAGCAAACTTTCCTTGTTTTACCTATTTTGTATATATATATACACATATATATATATATATATATATATATATATATATATATATATATATATATATATATATATATATATATATATATATATATATATATATATATATATATATATATATATAAAGAAGGTGCATATACAAAAGACACCTAAATAAAATGGGTCTTTGTTACATGCATACCCATTAATTAATCGCCAGCACAGTGATAAAACCCGGAAACTTATATGTCACTATAAACAAGCTGTCCTTCAAAACTTTCAGAGTATCCAAAATTCCAAATAAATAAGTTACAGAAACACAATAAATGTGATTTATTCAGAGAAGTGTACATTAGTAACTTATATAAACGAAACTGCATATTTTGACACTCCCTCGTACTTAGAAAAGAGATGTGGGGGTAATGTACGGAAAGGAGAAAGGCAAAGCAAGACAGCTGGGTGTGTTCCCGTTTTGCACACATTTGATAATTAGGTATAGAACAATAGGTGTTAAATATGTTTTGATTATAGTCTGATCCCCGTCTGGGATTTACCTTGAGTTACCTATATTTCACCAATGCATCATAATAAATATTTAAAAGAATAAAGTTTGAAAATTTAACATGTCCAATCCAACTGAAATTGATAAATCAGGTCTACAAATATAATTATTGCAGCCCCCCCCCCCCTCTTTTTCTCAATTTCATGAAGATAATATGAATGAGTTCATGAATTCAATCTTAATAAAAAAAAATTAACTTGCCCAGTTAGTATCATATGAATGTACATTACAATTATAGTTCTGATTAGTATTTATGATATTTTTTTATGTTTTGAAATAGTTTTTTCTTATTATGAAATTACAGAAATAAATCAAAATAGAAAAATAATTAATGCAAAATTAATCAATTTTCTTCGTATACTTGCAATTGATTCTTTTTCTCCAAATTCACAACTATGATATAGACTATATCAATTAAGTAATTATCTTACCTGGACAAATTCCCGTTTTGCACACATTTTTTCAATACCTGAAATTCAAATGTGTGCAAAACGGAAACAAACCGACAGCTGGTAGAATTTGACTTCTCTTTATTGATGCAAAGCATCAAGTCGGCCGGAAAAATATTTTAGCAATTTAAACTATTTCCATAAAAAAGAGTCCATCTTTTGTCTAGCTGCAGATCTGTATAGCTTCCTGTCAATATATTTTTTTTCGGAGAGCTAGAGTCTGCAGCTATCTTTTGTCATGTCAAACATTTTTGGTATTTTTAATTTTCATCTATCTCATATTATTTTCAAATAGCATTGCCAAAAACTACAGAAACAACAAATTCATAGTTAAGGGATTTAATTCCAACAAATGGGAACAAACATCATACATTTGTTATATTAAAAGTTTAAATCTAAAGTTTAAACTTATCTATAACTATCTAGTTATAGATAAGTTAACTTTGAACTTTAGATTTAAACTTTTAATGTAACACATTTATTGACTGGCATGGGTTCGAGGGCAACATGTCGGACTCAAGAATCAAACTGTTTGCCTGAGGCTGTTAGGCCATCTTCGCTAGCCAAGAATTTCTGATACGCTACTCTCCTCATAAGGAGAGTAGCGTATCAGAAGCCCTTGGCTAGCGAAGATGCTGTTAGGCCGAAGGGAAACGGTTTAGTTCGAGGGGTCGACAAAACGCATTTTGCCCGAGAACACAGTCAATAAGTGTTTTGTTATAACTTCTGTTCATCTATTTATTTATTTATTGCCATACATGTACATGTATCTGTTGCTGGCTTCCATGAGGCAAATTTTCTTTACCCACACTGCGGTAAAACTCGGTCAATTCTGTCACTGTTACCAACAAATGCAATTAAGATTTAGCTGATCCCGCCCACAATGTGGTCCAACATCTCATCGACAGGTCCAATATCTCACTCTCGATTTTTTTATGACCGTTTAGAAAAACATTGAAAATGTTAAGACTTTTTGAAGTATAGATTTATAAAGGGTACAAAAATTGATTTTGTAATTCGACATATACTTTTCGAGCTAACTGCAAGAATGTGAAGAATTTGACATTTCAGGGGCCTTGACTCTTACATGGATGCACGGAACAGAGGAAGCTTGCTATGTATAGCTAAATATGTAGCCAAATCTTACCATCCTGGTTATACCTGAGTCACATTTTTGCCGATGGTCGGGCGACCAAATTTTTGTCGTTTCGTTGGCTGAAAAACATGATCGGTCGACACTAAAGCAGTTACATTAATTCCTAGGAACACCGATGACTTTAAAAGTTCATAATTATGTAAGTTCAAAATTACCGCTATACATTGCAAAAATATTGCTACTCATTACCGCTCCTTTTTATCTAAAGTTAGGGTGCTCGTTACCGCTTCATCTTATAAAGCAATTGGCAATTACAACTCATTACCGCCACATACACAAGTCTGCATTAGTAAATTATGTAACAGCAACGAAATTAGGGATGAATTTCATTACTTATTTAAATGTACTGATGTGTCTATAAAGAACTCAAGAGTTATGTATTTGTCAAAATATTTTCATTTGAATCCAAATGTTTTGAAATTTGAAATGCTTTTTAATGTAACCAATACTAATCAACTTAGCAAAATTTGTAAATTGTTAGATATTATAATTGAGAGAGTTGGTTCTCTTGGTCGACATACTCTATTACCCCTTCTTCAGGCATGTAATATTTTCGGTTTATTATACTGTACATATCATCTCTTCACTGTTTTGTCAGTTATGAAAATAAAGTTCAAGTTCAAGTTCAAGCATGCGATGGTTCAAAATACGAGTTCCATTCAATATAATTCACTCACAATGTCGAATTTGAGGTACAATTTTAAATTAGGTAAGTTTAATTCATTCAGTCTGTAGTCGAATAGAATTACACAGAGTCAGTTGAATGCCATGGCTATTTTATTGAGAAGATTGAGACAAATCCCAGCAATGCAGGGTTGGCCATTGATGGATATTAAAAAATGTGTCTTTAAGAAATACATGTAAAATGGATAAGGATTTAAGTGTTAAAGTCAAGGTCCCACTACGACCTCCATAAAATTATGGTGGCCAGGAGAAACAAGTTTAATGTATGTTATTGTACAAGTTGTACTTTATACGGCTGTGCATGCATGAGGCGCTGGCTAACGGAAGAGGCTTTCTAGTGGTAATGTATACTTATAAATGTAGCGGTAATGTATACTTATAAACGTAGCGGTAATGTAATACTTATAAAAGTAGCGATAATGTATACTTATAAAAGTATACTTATAAATGTAGCGATAATGTATACTTATAAATGTAGCGGTAATGTATACTTAGAAACGTAGCGGTAGTGTATATGTACTTATAAATGTAGCAGTAATGTATACTTATAAATGTAGCGGTAATGTATACTTATAAATGTAGCGGTATTGTATACTATTTTGTAGCTGTAATGTAAAGCATCTACGTAATTTTATTCACAAGTCGGCTAATCGTCGCCTGATCAAAAGTTTTCGATGACACTGGAAAAGTCATTAGAATACTAAGTTTCGGGGTTCATGACTCCAGCAAGGGTGCACAGGTTTTGCACAATGAAACTTGCTGCACAAATAGATATTGTTATCCTAATTACACTATCTCTGTGAGAATTTGACTATCTGCTTTTATTTCTGAGCTACAATACAGTACATATACCCGGTACTGTATACAGGCAAACTTTTGCCCCCATTTCGTGCCCCTTTCGCCCTACTCTCATTTGGGCGAATTTAAAACGGGGCGAATTAAAAGAATACAGCATAATTTATTAATTAAAACAGAACTGAGACTGGGCGAATTTAAATCAGGGCAAAGTTGTTTGCAAATGTGAAAAGGTGAAAATAACAAGGGGCGAAAATAACCCTGTAAACAGTAGTCAAACTAAAAATAACATCCTTTAACATAGCCGTAATAATTTATTTTCCGAATGCACAACATTATGAATACATATTCATATGTATTTTTTTCCAAACTAAATTGTTCTGCTCTTTAGCTCACAGAGAATTGATTTTCAACTTTCAATGTTAAAGCTTCAGATTTTCAGCTTAGTTTGCACATTACTGTGAACTAGATCCTATTTCCCTTTTTTCAGTTATTTACTGGAATATCCTCAATGTTAATAACACGTCATTTACTGATTACTTTCCCTATGTCAGTTTTTTGGCTTTATGGTACAGGGCGTCCACCACTTTGCCCATATTCTGTATGGTTTCCAGGGAGTTCTCATATGTCTTATCCACTGGCGTCTCATCAAACACGATCAGTACCCCTGCACCTTGGTCCAATATACCTAGTATAAGAAAGAAAAAAAGATTTTCCTTTTGATTATCTTGTAGATAACAAGTACATTAAAACTTATCTAATCTAGATGTTGTGTATTCCAAAATCTTGTCTATCACAATGAAAATTAAGAAAATTAAGGTTCCTTTCACATAATGCAATGGTTTAAAATGCTATTTTACCTGGAATGTTGTCTAATCCAGCCAAATTTTATTGAATAGTGCTGTCCGGATTAGACTATATTTTTACTATATCTGCACCAAAAGTGCAATAATCCAACCTACAAGTTTCAATAAAGCCTGCAGGATATGGGAGGAAACCCTAGCTTTTACATGTTGAAAGACTTGCTGCTGTACTAGTTTTCAATATTATTCATAAGTTAATACTGCATATAAACAAATTTGTTTTTTTTATATACATAACTTGTGCATGTTATTTTGACCTAGAGACTGGGGTAGGCTCTACTGTAAACCAATTATTATTCTTTTTTCTTTCATTCATGATTCATCAGTTTGAGATCTATCCGTGATGATTAATTTTTATGACTACGAAGACGTTCTACTCAAATACACAATAAAAAGCACTGGCTTGTGGCTAGAAATAAACTGTAAACCAACTATTATTCGTGTCATCTTTTATAATTTGCAATTTGTTAGTTTGAAATCAATCTGCAACGATTAATTTTTGCCACTAAGGAAACATTCTATATAAAAATGAAATAAAATAAATGGATTAATTAATTAATGGATTAATATTCTCGAGTCAAAGTTGGCTGCGAAACTCGCAGATATTTCTGGCATGTGAATAAAAGTTGGTTTACAGTAATTTGTACAGTAATCCTTACTCATGCATTTACTTACTTTAATGCAACTTCACCTACCATGAAATTTCTTATCCAGAATCATTTGTGACAATTTCTTCTCAACTGTGTCCTGAAAAAATTATTTTAATTAATGAAATATTATTTTTTACATTATAATTAACAGTAGATGTAACCTGTGAGGGTTGACATGGACTGTGTCACTGTAGACGAGTGACTTAAAGAAAGAATCAATAAATATTTTTGAAATACGTATTGATTTTAAATCTGAACTGAAATCAAACCATTACGTCATAAGCATTCCTGTTGTTTATCTTAACTAAAGGTATACTGTAGATTCCTAAATATAATTAGGAATTAATTATCGCTCATTTAATCGCAAAAAGAACAACTTGTGAAAAAAATTACTCTCTTTTATTTTTATGATGCTGAATTCCATGTAAAATCTCTTGATCAACTTTCAACTCGCAAATTATTTTCTCGCAATTTGACCTTAATGAGCCATTTCATGATAATAAGTACTCGCAATAAAAAAAGGAAACTACAGTACGTTATACGTGAACCGGTCATCACAAGTCTTTTTTCATTACAGTATTTAATCTTACAATGAACATAGGTTTCAGGCATGAGAATGAAATTGAAAGTGACTGATAGGCAGACAGAGAAATATTTTACAATTACCATTACAATGCAGAAATGATCAGAACCTGATGAATGTTATATTTGACCTTGATTAAAGAAATGGTCAATCTCAAAAATTTGTACATTGCATTTCATCTTAATATTTCTTCATAATCCAAGTCTGAAATCCTAATTTTTGAAGGGTTCATAATTTTATATTTTTCTTTTATTTCCCCATTATGAAAAGCAGCACACTGCATGTGTGTCCGATCGGCAGGGGATGCTCACTCCTTTATGGCACCTGATCCCACCTCTGATGTTTTTGAGATCCATGTTTGCTTTGCTCCTGATTTGTATTGTTTAAATGGACTTTTGAGCTTGAATACTGTTCGTTACCTCCATATTTTTTATTCTGTATATTCTTTGATTGGTAATGTCTAGGTATATTTTACATTAATCTCATCTTTACATGTTCCAAGTCCAAATGTCAAAGAGTTCTCAGATTATGGCCTATACTTTTGTTTCTGTAATTCAATCTTGATTGAAGAAATGGGTCAAGGTCAAAGATTTTAGTGCAGTGCATCTCAGCTTAAACTTATCTGTCCATGTTCCAGGTTTAAAGTTCCGCTGCCCAAGGGTTCTTAAGACAGGGTTGTCCCTAAGAATTGAAATAGCAGGGGACATTAAAAGTAGAAGGGTCCTCCCCTAACATAGGGATGAGGGGGAAATACCGAAATAACTGGGAGATTACATTAATAAAGGTGGGAAAATTTCCTGGCCTCCGGGTCTTAGGGACAACCCTGCTAAGATATGGCTTAAATTAGGTCAAGGTCAGAAATTTTGGTGCTGTGCATCTTAAGTTAATGATTGATTGATATTGTTTAACGCTGAGTCGGCAATATTTCAGCCATATATCAGTGGTGAAAAGTTATGCTCAGATTGAAAGATTTTTCGGGTTTCTCTGGCAGCCACCAGTGAGCCTACTCTTTTTCGAAAACCAGAAAAACGATCTTTTATGTGCCAAAGGGGTTGTTATTCTTGACACGGGCACCATTTAACGTCCCATCCGACGGATTTAAATTTAAAAATATGTAAACAGTTAAAGAAGAAAGTACGTTATGTACCAAAATCGGCCCTGTCCCCGAATCTGTCGAAGATTTTTTTGAAGCATGTCTAAGATGTCCTCTTTTTAATTCAGCTTAATTTTTGTAATTATCTCAAATCAATTTTCCTACAAAGCTATCTGAATATAGATAGTTTCTTTGGAAAATAACACTATGACGTTATGACGTCAATCTAGCGACGCTACACAAATACGAGGGTTGTTGGAAAGTTCGTTATATTACTCTCAAGAAATATTAAAAAAGAACACAATTTCTTATATAAAAAATATTTATTTTGTTGATGTGTGAAGTTTCATTTCATTCGATTTAACAGAAATCAATTTACTTAATTTTAAAATCAACATGTTTGGTAACCACGGAGCTGCATTACAAAGTTAAAAAACATTGCGTCATGGTGTTTTCATATAAAAAAAAAAATCCCCCTTTACATATCACACAGTTTAGTCCAATAGCCCAATTATTAAAAACGTTTCTCTATCAAATTTAATTTATTTTGCTAACAATCGTACAAGTAGCATAATTTAATTTTGTTTGTCCATGTTTTATTTATTTTTTTTATTTTACCATGCAATTTTGCATTCACAAGATCAGCAACTGTGAAGCGCCTTTCTCTTTCCATGACGTAACCAACTCAAAGTTTCTGTTCACATTTCTTTTTTTTTTTTTTTTTTTTTTACAGATAATCCATTTTCTCACAGACCGCCCTTGTCTGATACAGAGTTTTAATCATTCGAATACAGCCTCTATCATTTATACACATGTGAACAAATCGCTTTTGACATTTGCTCACTACAATATTTTCAGAGTTTAATCTGAAGATTTCCAGAGTACAACACAAAATTTTATTATACCTTTATCTAATAGTACTTTTATCATAAGTATCCGATTACTGATACTCAATTCAAGCAAGAGTTTGATTTTTAAAAGCTAGACTATTTTTTATGCGAATTCCTTGGCTTGTTTTTAAGATTGCATTAAAACTTTTAAGTTTTAATACTATTTTATAGAATGTCAGATTCCCTATAAAATTTTATGAGAAAGCATTAAAGATATTTTGGAAAAAGTATTTGATATTTTAATTAATAGATAACATGGAAAGGGCAAATTCCTCAGTCCATTCTTTCCAACGAGTCGCAGCGTCATACGCGAATTTATCTAAACAAAATGTGTTTAAAACGTTTCTGTCGTCATGTGAAAAAGCCCCCCCCCCCCCCCCCCCCAAAAAAAATAAAAAAAAGTTCTGTCATTCGATTAATAATTTTATATGTCACCGGATGGTTCTCTCAAATGCACGAATCAAGTATCACCCCCCCCCCCCTTTACAAGCTGGTAAAGATGCAGCACTTCTCTTGGATAGTTGGCATAGGCAACTTTCTATCGCATTTTCTTTAGCAACTTATTGAGGCTTTTTGCACCAATTCAGGATAGCTTTTCCAAAAAAAAAAATAAATAAATAAAATAGAATTAAACATGTATAAATATTTACTTTCTTTGAAGAACACTTTTACGATCTTTTTTTAAATATGTACATATAATTATAGATAAATACTGTTGCTTGAAGTTTCGCTCAATATGAGAGCCTATCTTTAAGGAAGTATTGTAAGCCTTCGATACCAAATCTATGGAGAGAAAGATTACAGGCATTTATGCCTGCTTTTCAATCCATTTCAGGTATAGCCCTTGCTCCGTGATCGGAAGGTCGTGTGTTCGAATCACGGCCACGACCGACCTAAGTGTTCCTTCGTCAAGCGGCACTTTGAAGTGAAAGTTGCGGGTCTTTCGGATGAAACCTTAAAAAGTTGCGGGTCTTTCGGATGAGACCTTAAAAACCGAGGCCCCGTGTCTCGGTAGGTTCAAGCTTTTTTTCACAATTTTTTTTCACAACCAATTTTTCCCCCAATACACTAAATTCCCAATCTGATTAAAATCATATCTTTGTTACGCTCCGAAATTCTGATGGTCTGAATTTCGGAGCGTAACAAAGATCTGATTTTAATCAGATTGTACAGCGACCATCAGAATTTCGGAGCGAACAAAGATCTGATTTTAATCAGATTGACTAAATTCCTAAGCTTTACCTATGCTACAGCAAACGGGGGGGCAGTCTGTCAATGAACATTTTCAAAGTTTGGAAAAAGTGGGAAGTGGCCCTGCGTCCCTGATTCTTCGTGCCTGATAAATAACTTTTTTCAGACTTGTCCACACTGACAGATAATTTTGTTCCACAGTATATACTTATATTAAATTGTGTGATACACATACACCGCCGTAATGGGGTGAAAGAATTTAGTGACAGGTAACCTTGCTGAAAAGTGAACCCCTCATCCGGTACAGCTTTTTATTTATTTTTTTGTCCGAAATTCTTTTTTGGACCTTTCTGTCGCTTTCTCATTCCAGTCTTCTTTTAACTTCACTGGATCACCGACAGATAAGAAATTACAACTCTGGTATATGTGGAATGATCTTAAGTAGAATATATGGGTAAAAAATAAATTTTACAAGGTGAAATATGAGCCTTTGTTTTTATATGCATAATTGATATTATCGACAAAGTCTACATTATAAAGTTATGCAGATGCAACACGCTTATATTGTGCGTGGAATTATAAAATCTGAAAATATATTGAAATATCAACCGTGCACTGGTATTTATAAATGACTGAAAATACAAGACTTCAGAATATTAATTAATCGATCAGTCCTGACCAACGGCATCCAAAAGATTGGGAATTTATCCCCCTTCCCAATCCAAAAAAAAATGTGTTGCAAGGGGACCTATTGTGACGTCATCTTTGAGTTTATTGCGTAATTTATGTACATAAATGCAGACGTCAACTAGGCCTTTTCAGTAGCAAAATAAAATAAAGGCTAGGCTTTTAGCATTTTCTTTTCTGCAAAATATACTTTTAGTTATTTCATTTGTCAGCCGAACATTTTTATTTTATTGCTTTAGTATATTAAATTGATCTCTTCCCTTCTTGCTGGCAACATTTATCAAGTGTAAGGCTTATTTGTATAAAATATTGTCGCAGTTTATCATTTCTATAAAACATTTTTTTAGTTAATATGCTATTTTCATGACAAATATATTTGTTTAAGCAATATAGATATGGTCAATCAATGATAAATTTATTTTTTAACATTATTACACGAAATACACTATTATTATTACTCCTAGATAAGAATTCGTCTCTCCACTAACTTGGTATCCGCCACCGGAAATAGTCATGAAATGTCAAAATTAACATACTGCACATTCCTCGAGCAAATTCTTACCCTTATTTTTGCTTGTCTTTCATCAAATTATTTTCAAATATATATGTTTTATTTTGCTCGAGGGGTGTGCACTACTTCAATTTTGGGAATTTGTTGTAAAAATAGTGGAAAAAATAGCAATTTCCGGAAAGAACGGATGTTTAAATCCTGTGAATACCTCTAATCAACGTACTTGCGAAATTTTGTTATGCATATATCAAAACTACCAATCTTCATCTACATGTACATAGTAGTTATATTTTTTCAAACGTGTATATAAAAATACGAAAAATTGTGGGCCTTTGAATAATACGTAACGTTCTTAGTTCTTTATAATAACAAAAATTGGCTATTTAAAATATATATATCTAAATCTTACTGTAAAAATCATTTTCTTGCAAGTATTGTAAAATTGTACTAGGGCTCATATTTGTAAAAAGGTCATGCATTGTTTGCTTATTATTAAAAAGTCTACTTGGAACAGGCGTAAAATTAGAACATTCTAAAAGAATACGATTTATAGTTATTGCACAGTCACAAGATATGCATTCAGGTTGATGTTCCTCGTTTAGTAAATAAGAATGAGTAAACCTTGAATGTCCAATGTGTATTCTTGATATAATGACTTAGTCTTGGCGTTTCAGGCCAAAATCAGATGACTGGTTAACCTTGTTTTGTATTGTATTAAGTTTACTATGATCACAAAAATCCCAAAATATTTGCCAATTGAAAGTGAATTTACATAAGTTTTTACTAAATATTTAGGATCAGTGTAAGGAATTTTAAAGCGTACAATTTCATACTGAAGTGCATTTTTAGCAGCACTATCAGCCTTTGTGTTTCCGGGGATACCAATGTGACTTGGGATCCAACAAAATTCAACAACTTTAGTACCTTCTTTGATGAAGTGATTAGTACTTGATTAATATATCCAAAATATATGGGTGATCAATGTTCATATTGTTTATCTTAAGTTAATGTGATGGTTTCAGGTTCGAAGTTCAAAGACCAAATGTCAAGGGGTTCTCAAGTTATGGTCTAAATTATTATGTTGATTTAAAAAGTTTGACCTTTGAAAAAGGCAAAAAAATGTACAAATTAAAAGTCTAGTTATGGTCTAGATTAAATTGTGTTGATGAAGAAGTTTGACCTTTGAAAAGGGCAAAAAAAATATACAAAAGTCAAGTTACGGTCTAGATTTTATAGTATTGATGAAAACATTTCACCTTTGGAAAAAGGCAAAAAAGCATACAAAAGTCAAGTTATGGTCTAGATTATATTGACTGTGCTGATCAAAGAGTCTGACCTTTGAAAAGGGCAAAAAAATGTACAAAAGTCAAGTTATGGTCTAGATTATATTGTGTTCATGAAAAAATTTGACCTTTGAAAAGGGAAAAAATGTACAAAAGTCAAGTTATGGTCTAGATTATATTGTTTTCATGAAAAAGTTTGACCTTTGAAAAGGTAAAAAAATACCCAAAAGTGACACTTACTATTGGCAGTTTAATCAGGTTTGCAACATGCTGGACCTAAAACAGAGAAGATAGAATATGTCAGGCAGAATCCACGTTTCAATTACATGTGTAGCTCTTGCTTGTCAAAAACTTAATGCTATATTATTAGCAAAATAGCTAAAGCCTATACAGTACATTTCCTTTTATAATTTGACATTTATTAAAACAAGAGGCCCATCACTAACCTGAGCAATTTGGCTAGGAAAAAAGCAGAAGTCAGTTCAATATTGAAAAATTAAAATATATTAGTGGTCTTGGGGGGATGATTTGAACAAGCTTGAATCTACACTACCCGATGATGCTTCCATATTTTTTTGACTAATCATGGCTTTAGAAAATTTTCGAGAATTTTTCCTATGTATTCCAATGTAAAACTTTGTTCATCCATTGTGCCCCCCCCCCCCCCCATCCCACCATACCTCTGGGGATCATGATTTAAACAAACTTGAATTTACATTACCTGAGGATGCTACCATATAAATATGATCAATCATGGCTTTGCTGTTCTTGAAAGGATTATTATTACAGATTTTTCCTATGTATTCCTATGTAAAACTTTGATCACCCATTGTGGCCCCACCCTACCCATGGGGGTCATGATTTGAACAAACTTGATTTTACACTATCTAAGGATACTTCCATTTATATTATGACAAAGCATGGCTTGGCTGTTCTTGAGAAGATTTTTTGAGATTTTTCCTATGTATTCCAATGTAAAACTTTGATCACCCATTGTGGCCACATCCAACCCCTGGGGATTATGATTTGAACAAACTTGAATCTACACTACCTAAGGATGATTCCACATAAGTTTCATATTTTCTAGCCAAATCTTAGGAAGATTTTTAAAAGATACCATTAACTCTTCACTAATTCAAAATTATCTCCCCTTGGAAGAAGGTGTGGCCCTTCATTTGAACAAACTTGAATCCCCTTTGCCCAAGGATACTTTGTGTCAAGTTCAGTCTCCAATTATTATTGAAAATTGCATGAGGTAATTTAAGAAAATAAATAAATAAACATAATAAAATAGAATGTTTAATTTCTGCTATATCATGAACATGCCAATAGATACAGTTGAACTTCGGTATCTCCAACATTGATATCTCAAATACCATGGATATGTTGAAGTGATTTGGAAGTCCAAACCACTTATTCTATAAGCATATTACTCCGATACCTCGAATCATCGGATATCTAGAAGTTGTTTTTCAATATACTGACACATTCCTGCATTTAGTTTCAGTTTCTTCATACAATCAATTATGATTAAGATTTAATTAAGGAATAACTGTCTAATTTTTTTTGGTTTCATAATGTGATCAATCGATTAGCTTACGTGATAATTTGCATAAACGCCGTAGGCGTTTATGCATAAAATTATCATGCAAGCCAATCGATTGATCATCGTCATGAAACCAAAAAATCTGACAGTTATTCCTTATATTTACATGCTCTTGATTCTGCAAATTCACGTGCTACAAGCCCTGCTTCTGTTTCTGTCTGTCCCGCCCCGCACGTAATTTTTTTTCACCACACCTATCGATGAACCAGTAGATTGATGTAGAAATAAAGTATTTTTACTATTTGAAATTTTATCTCGGACAAAGACATTGGAAATGTAAATATTCAGTAATTACTTCTAAACTATAAATGTATAATATCTGTTCTGTTTTTAATTAACTTTTCACACAAATAACTGAATACATTTATGGTCAAACAAGAACAAAGTGAATCTTTGGGGGGTCTTTCTTAGAGCCAAACTTCATCATGTCCAGATTATACTGTGGATCAAATATTTTTCGCTTCACATTATTTTTGAGAGAAAGCTGTTTGTATTTAGAAGCGAGACTAATTCTTCCCTAATGTTGGTTATTGTATTATATAATTCTTAACAATAAAAATACAAATGGCCAAAGGGCCTTGACAGTCGGTCACCTGAGTATAATACACTTTAGAGGATCCATAGAGTATAAAATGAATTGATAGATGAAGTTTTGTTGCCTAAAAGCAAGAGAAATAGGATGACCAGGATCAACGAAATAATTGGTCTAGCATTCAGTAACAACTCATAAATTAAGATTAATCTGTCCCCCATTTACTACTATCACAATGCAGACTATTCACAGACTATTAGTGCTTCTGTACTATTTAAACCCCATATTATAACCTCTCACATTAACCTTCCTTGGTCTTTGAAGAACATTTAATAAGTTATTTTTGTCTCATTTTTATTTATCTATTATTTACAAGTCTATCTGATCATTAAAACTATGAAAGTACTTTTTATATAATACAGGAAAAATTCTTGCATAAATCTCTTATTCTATTAACCTTTCAAATACATTATTTACAGTGATTAATTATCAAAAGTGAATGGCAAAGGGAATAACTTCTCTCAGTAGAATACAAATTAATAGAACCTTGGTCAGGACCAGAACACTTGACCAAATAGTCCAGATGTGGTCTGGTAAAAATCCCCTTGCTTATTAAAACTTTTACTCTGCCTCTGATATGTCCAGGAGCAGAGAAGACTTTAAATGAAATGATGCATTTTCACTACAGATTCAACACAGCCCTACCCTCACATCAGAACCCATGAACAAGGGTCAGGACATTCAGAAATTTGGAATAGATACCCTAATCATCATAACTATGCACTTAGTGGAAGATTTTCAAAGAATTAAAACATTTTTACTATATTATCGATACCCCCCTCCCCTAAAAAACACCAGAACCCCTGACCCCTGGACCACAAGTTTTAAAAATTTTGTAAGAAGCACCCTTGTTCATCATAACTATGCACTTTGTTTATCTGCTCAACACTAAGGAGCAGACAGGATTATTTAATAGAATAAATGCATTTTCACTATATTATCAATAGTCTCAGCCCCACCCTTACACCAGAACATCTGACCAATGGGCCATGAAACTCACAATTTTGGAGGATGCATTCTTGCTCATCATAACTATGTACTTATCTAGTTTGTTTAAAACCAAGGAGCAGAGAAGAACATTTTCAAAGAATTAATGCATTTTCATTATATAATCAATAGAGCCCTCCTCCCCCCCCCCCCCAACACCAGAACCCCTGACCCAGGGGCCATGAAATTCACAATTTTGGAAAAGGCATCCTTGCTCATCATAACTATGTACTTAGTTAGTTTGTTTAATATCCAGGACAGGAAAGAAGATTTTCAAAGAATTAATGCGTTTTCACTATATAATCAATAGAGCCCCCTCCTGTTAACCAGAACCCCCGAACCTGGGGCCATGAATTTAACAATTTTGGAAGAGGCATCCTTGCTTATCATAACCATGCACTAAGGTTATTTAAATAATACCTGGGAGCAGAGAAGAAGATTTTCAAAGAATTAATGCATTTTCACTATATAATCAATAGAGCCCCACTCTAACACCAGAATCCCTGACCCTGGAGTTATTAATTTCACAATTTTGGAAGAAGCACTCTTGTTTATAATAACTATGTACTTAGGTAGTCTGTCTAATATCCAGGAGCAGAGAAGAAGATTTTTAAAGAATTATCTGGTATTGCATTTTCACTTTATAATCAATAGAGCCCCCCCCCCCCCCTTTTTCACCAGAACCCCCGACCCTGGGGCCATAATTTCACAATTCTGGAAGAAGCACTCTTGTTTATAATAACTATGTACTAAGTAGTTTGTCTAATATCCAGGAGCAGAGAAGAACATTTTAAAAGAACTAATGCATTTTCACTATATAATCAATAGAGCCCCACTCTAACACCAGAATCCCTGACCCTGGAGTTATTAATTTCACAATTTTAAAAGAAGCACTCTTGTTTATAATAACTATGTACTTAGGTAGTCTGTCTAATATCCAGGAGCAGAGAAGAAGATTTTTAAAGAATCATCTGGTAATACATTTTCACTTTATAATCACTAGAGCCCCCCCCCCCCGCCCCCCCCCCCCTTTTCACCAGAACCCCTGACCCTGGGGCCATACATTTCATAATTTTGGAAGAGGCATCTTTTCTTATCATAACCATGCACAAAGTTTATTCAAATAATACCCAGGAGCAGAGAAGAAGATTTTCAAAGAATTAATGCACTTTCACTATATAATCAATAAAGCCCCACCCGAACACCAGAACCCCTGATCCTGGGGCCATGAATTTCACAATTTAGGTAGAGGGCTCAATGCTTATTACAATCATGCCAACAGTTTGAATCCTTGATGTCCAGGAGTAAAGAAGAAGATTTTTAAAGATTGCATTAATTTTGGTGGTTTTAACCCCACCCCTCAGGCCCCAGGGGGGCAGGGACCATGAAATTCAAAATTCTTGTTCCCCTTCACCCATAGATGCTATATGCCATAATTGGTTGAAATTTTCTTAGTGGTTCCAGAGAAGAAGCTGAAAATGTTCAAATGTTAATGGATGACGCACGACGACAAACAAGAGGCCCATGGGCCACAACGCTCACCTGAGTTACTTTGGCCCTGCTGTTCTTCACCAGACCCCCCTCCCTTGTATTACTTATTGCGGCCCCGCCGTATCCCCAGGGGCCATGATCTGCACAATTTAGAATCTACACTACCCAAGGATGCTTCCACATAAGTTTCAGCTTTTCTGGCCCAGTGGTTCTTGAGAAGAAGATTTTTAAAGATTTTGCCTATATATTACAATGCAAAACTTTGATTCCCTATTGTGGCCCCGCCCTACACCTGGGAGCCATGATTTGAACAATTTAGTATATACACTACCCAAGAATGCTTCCACATAAGTTTCAGCTTTTCTGGCCCAGTGGTTCTTGAGAAGAAGATTTTTAAAGATTTTGCCTATATATTTCAATGTAAAACTTTGATTCCCTATTGTGGCCCCGCCCTACCCCCGGGGGCCATGATTTGAACAATTTAGTATATACACTACCCTAGGATGCTTCCATATAAATTTCAGCTTTTCTGGCTCTGTGGTTCTTGAGAAGAAGATTTTTTAATGACCCCACCCTATTTTTGTCTTTTCTTGATTATCTCCCCTTGTAAGGGGGTTTGGCCCTTCATTTTAATAATTTAAACTCCCCTTCACCCAAGGATGCTCTGTACCAACTTTGGTTAAAATCGGCTCAGTGGTTCTTGAGAAGAAGTTAAAAATGTGAAAAGTTTACAGACGGATGGACAGACAGACAGACAGCTAGACGGACGGATGACGGACAACAGGTGATCAGGAAAGCTCACTTGAGCTTTCAGCTCAGGTGAGCTAAAAATGGATAGCAATATTTCACCTGAGTGACGCAGGTGACCTAATAAGTAAGAAAGAAATTTTCATGAGTAGACAGTGTTGCATAATTATGCGAATTCAAAATGAAGTGATTAACAGTACCATCTTATTATTTTGTGTTACATGGAGAACTACGTACAAATCTGACATCATTATTAAATGAATTCCCCACATGTACGCCTTCTATAGTCAATAGGAATACTAATTAATAAACATTCACTCACTAATATTTAATAAAAGATGTAGGGCATTAGAAATTTAAACTTTAACAAGAGGCCCAAGGGCCTTAACGGTCACCGGAGTATAATACAACAATTTAGAGAATCCAAAGAGTATAAAATGAACTGAAAAGTGAAGCTTTGTTGCCCAAAAACAAGAAAAATAGGGTGATCAGGTTCAACAAAATAATTAGTCTAGTGTTCATTAACAGTTCATAAATTAGGTTCTAATCTGTTCCCCATTTATCACTATCACCATACAGTATATTAACAAACTATCAATGCTTCTGTACTATTTTAATTCCTTGTTGAAATCTCTTACATTGGACTCTCTTGGTCTTTGATGAACATTGAATAAGACAAGTTATTTTTGTCTCATTTTTATTTATCTATTACTTACAAGTCTACCTGATCATTAAAACTATGAAAGTACTTTTTGTATTATACAATAAAAAATCTTGCAAAATTCTCTTATTCTATTAACCTTTCAAGTACATTATTTACAGTGACTAATTATCAAAAGTAAATGGCAAAGGGGAATAACTCCCCTCAGTAGAATACAAATTAATAGAGCCCTGGCCAGGACCAGAACACTTGACAAAATGGCCCAGATGTTCAAAAATATTTATTAAAACTTTTACTCTTTTTGCCTCTGATATGCCCAGGTGCAGAGAAGATTTTCAAAGAAATAATGCAGTTTTTACTACAGATTCACTACATTATCAATAGAGCCCCCCCCCCCCACACCTCCCATCCCCACCGAGAAACACCAGAGTCTCTCACCCTGGGACCAGAAGTTTATTCATCATACATGTAAGTAATCACTTTGTTTATCTGATTAACACTAAGGAGCAGACAGGATTATTTAACAGAATTAATGCATTTTCACTACATTATCAAGAGCCCCACCCTTACACCAGCACATCTGACCCAGGGGTCATGCAATTCACTACTCTGGAAGAAGTAATCATGCTCATCATAACTATACACTTAGCTTCTTTGCTTTTTAACCAGAAGCAGAAAAGAATATTTTCAGAGAAATTTTGCTTTTTCACTATATAATCAATAGAGCCCCCCCCCCCCCCCCCCTTTTCACCAGAACCCTTGACCCTGGGGCCATGAAATTCACAATTTTGGAAGGGGCATACTTGTGTATCATAACAATGTACTAATAGTTTGTTTAAATAATACCCAGGCGCAGAGAAGAAGATTTTTAAAGAAATAATTCACCTTCACTATAGGATATATATGGCCCCGCCCTAGCACCAGAACCCCTGTACCTGGGGCCATGAATTTCATAATTTTGGAAGAAGCATCCTTGCTTATCATAACAATGTACTTAATTTGTTTAAATAATACCCAGGAGTAGAGAAGATTTTTAAAGCATTAATGCATTTTCACTATATAATAAATAGAGCCCCACCCTAACACCAGAACCCCTGATCCAGGGTCCATGAAATTCACAATTTTGGAAGAGGCATCCTTGCTTATCATAACTATGTATTTAATTTGTTTAAATAATACCCAGGAGTTGAGAAGATTTTTAAAGCATTAATGCATTTTCACTATATGATTTATATAGCCCAGCCCTAGCACCAGAACTCTTGACCCTGGGGCCATGAATTTCACAATTTTGGTAGAGTCACCCTTGCTTATCATAACTATGTATTCAATTTGTTTCAATAATACCCAGGAGTAGAGAAGAAGATTTTCAAAGAAATAATGCACTTTCACTATATGATTTATATAGCCCCGCCCTAACACCAGAACCCCTGCCCCTGGGGCTATGAATTTCACAATATTGGTAGAGTCACTCTTGCTTATCATAACTATGTATTCAATTTGTTTAAATGATACCCAGGAGTAGAGAAGAAGATTTTCAAAGAAATAATGCACTTTCACTATATGACCTATATAGCCCCGCCCTAGCACCAGAACCCCTGACCCTGGGGCCATGAATTTCACAATTTTGGTAGAGTCACTCTTGCTTATCATAACTATGTATTCAATTTGTTTCAATAATACCCAGGAGTAGAGAAGAAGATTTTCAAAGAAATAATGCACTTTCACTATATGATTTATATAGCCCCGCCCTAACACCAGAACCCCTGACCCTGGGGGCATGAATTTCACATTTTTGGTAAAGTCACTCTTGCTTATCATAAATATGTATTCAATTTTGTTCAATAATACCCAGGGGTAGAGAAGAAGATTTTCAAAGAAATAATGCACTTTCACTATATGATCTATATAGCCCCACCCTAGCACCAGAACCCCTGACCCTGGGGCCATGAATTTCACAATTTTGGTAGAGGGCTCAATGCTTATTACAATCATGTCAACAGTTTGACTGCTTGATGTCCAGGAGTAAAGAAGAAGATTTTTAAAGATTGCATTAATTTTGGTGGTTTTAGCCCCACCCCTCAGGCCCCAGGGGGGCAGGGACCATGAAATTCACAATTTTGTCCCCCTTCACCCATAGATGCTATATGCCAAAATTGGCTGAAATTGGTTGAGCGGTTTCAGAGAAGAAGGTGAAAATGTTTAAATGTTAACGCACGACGCACGTCGCACGACGGATGACGAACGACGACGGACAAAAACGGATAGCAATAGGTCACCTGAGTGACTCAGGCGACCTAAAAATTTACACAATTCAATCGTGCTGGATTAACATGTCAATGAATGACTAAACGTTGAGTCTGCCCTCAATGAAATGTCATGTCTACATTTTTACTGAAATAGACCTGAACTCTGGAGAAAGGCTCGATGATACGACAGAGATTCTGTTCCAGTAAATTATCGTACAGCGTCTTCAAATGAGCATTGACAATCGGGTCCTCAGCTAGCTGGGCTTTATACTGCACCAATGTCTGAAATCATAACAGAAAAATTCTAAACTTCTGCTTTTTCTCTCCTCCTTTTTATCTTTGTTTTTTCCTATTACTGTGAACAAACATAAATTAGTGCACTCACAATTTAGTGTCATTTTTCTCATCAGCTTAGTGTTATCATGCAGCGTTTCCCCTTTAGTTCAAAGTAAAGGCTTTGTGTTGAAGTTTATGACAAATCTCTGTGGACCTTACAACAATTAAATTTTTGATTTTTTTTTATTTCAAAGCGGCATTTTTATCAATTGAAGTGGTCAATTTGGCTGGTAGCCAGTTCTTAGGGAAAACACTGATCATGAATTAACACATTTAGAGCCAAGCCTCTATATGTATTGGTTATAATCATATATTAGCTTCTACTTGAATTAACACGATAACCAGTGAAAAAAGCTGCTAAAACTGCGGTTTAAGCAAGTACATTTAGGTTAAAGAATATAAAGATTTCTCTGTCATTAAGAGGGATTATTTCTCACATTTATCAGGTCAAAATGAAACAAACAATAGTTTGTAAAGTAGGATTTCTCTGTGGTAGCTAAATTCAGTAAGATTCAGTCATTAGATAAACCAAGAAGTATCTGATAAGACTGTATTGTTTTTTGTTTAAACCTAATAGTCTGAAGAAAAAAAGGTTTGCTTGAATTTGTAACTTTCCCTGTTCGAGATGTATACTCTTCATAGGGTAATTTTCACCCCAGATTATTTTTGCCCTTTCACACATGCAAATAATTCTGCCCTGTTTTAAAATTTGCCCAGTCACAGTTTTGTTTAAGAAATTATACATTTAAGAAATAAGGTATCATTTTTAAACTTTTATTGGGATGTAGATACAGGTTGGTCATGTGATTAAATCCCATAAGGGCTTTATGGTAGATTTGATCACGTGCCAACCCGTATTTACAACCTGATAAAACTTTTAAAATGATACTGTATTACTTATATTTACATTTGTGACTGATTTATTACAAATAGTTGGGTCCTATAGTTTAAAACCCATAAATTGATTAACTTTTTTCAAACCTCAACAGTATTATTGAATGTGTTGAATGCGTCGATACACTTATGACGTCACTACGAAATTACCTAGATCGTTTATTACTAAACAATCAATCTATGGTCACATGACGAACTTGTTTTTACACAGGTGTAAAAACGACTTGTTCAAATAGTGTTATTTAAGGGAAAACATTTGCATCTTTTAATTTCCCCTTTTTTAAACTTACCCACCTGTCAGTAGGGCAAAAGGGTGAAAATTTCCCTGTATACAGTATATCCTCTTTAAAATCAGACAGACAGGATCTTGAGTTGTCCTAATGAGACTGATACCCCCCCTCCCCCCCCCCCCCCCAACTACCACATCCCCAACCTACAGGGGCACAACCAGAAGATCAAACTAAGTATATCCACAGTTTCACCACATCTGTTAGTTTGGTTTGGATTCCCTTTGAGATCAGCTGGAAAGGAGATGGGCGAACATAGCGTGCAGAAAGCCTATAGCTTCAGATATATAAAAATCATATTCAGTTTGTGAATTTAGTATTTAGAGTAAAGTTCTCATTATTGAAATTAATGAAATTATAATAAACAAAACTTTTCTGAGGAAACTTTTCTTGGCAAAATTTATTTTTTATTATAAAATAATGTGGTATTCTTGGGGTTTGAACCCTAGCAATAAAAATCCCGAGTATCATTTTCTTTCGAGACTAGCACGCTAACCACTAGACCACACAAGTCCTGATGAATAGTGGCATTTAAATCATGTTTGTGATATGACCCTTGACTTAATGGACTTCAAGTATTTCTAGAAAAAGATGCGAACGTTATGTCATAAAAGTACATTTTTATGGTATAGTGGGTCATTGCTCCATATTTTTGGTAACCAAAAAAAGTATATTTTAATGTTAGATGAAATATCAAGGAAAATTTTGATATAATTGAGATTTAATTTTCCACCTTCATGTTTGTCACACTATAGGCTTTTCGCTCGGCATGTTCACCCATCTTCCTGGTCTAAACACTGAGCTCAACCTTGAGCCTTATGCATAGAATAAAAGACTTGGATCACTTCTTACTTTTTCAAAAACATGTTTTTCAACCTAGTTATAATTATTAACATAGTTTTCCTTATTTTGACATTTTTTGACATTCAGAATGAACTCTAAATGCCTGGATTATTATCATATCTTTTTTTAAGTATTTAAAATGAGCTCTACAGTACACACTTTTATACAAGTTCAACCTAGCACGTAAAAATTCACATCATGTCTGCTGTCCTATTAAGAGTGCATAGCTCTACTTAGCAGAATCTGTTCTAAACAGCCTCCTCAAAAATTTTTTTTGCACTAATTCGATGTTCTATCAATGACAGACTTAAAAACTGCTGTATACAAGGTTCTTTTATTTAACTTTTGCCCTTTCACACTTGCAAATGATTTTGAGCCGTTTTGAATTTGCCCAAACACAGTAACAGTTCTGTTAATAGATATATATTACTTTGTTTAAATTTGCCTTATTTTGAATTAACCCACTGAATATATTCTGTAAAATCACATATTTTCGTGGAGTCCAATTTTCAAGGCTTGCAGAACAAGAAGTCTGTGAGCCAATGCTCACTAGTAATACCCCTGCTCTGATGTGAATACACGCTCTCATAAATCCCACCATATGGCATGCCTAAACAAAGAGTGTGCTAAAATTTCAAGCACTTGCAACGAGTATATACAGTTGCTGAGAAAACTGTGAGGAAAATTTGGTACAGACAGAAGCAAGGAAAAACAGGAAGTTGACATCAGATTTGTACAAAAATAAATCCCACCATATGGCATGCCTAGACAAAGAGTATGCGAAAATTTCAAGCATCTGCGATGAGTAGTTGCTGAGAAAACTGCGATGAAAATTTGTTACGGACAGACACACAGCTACACGGACACACAGACACATGGACAGACAGACACACAAGGATAAACAGTATTCCCTCCTCTCCTTTGGAGCAGAGGTATGAAAATTATTCATTCATGGGGATTAGATTTGGTGGCTGAAGAAGTCCTGAATATATACGTATTAATTTGAAATTTACATATCGTGGAGGACATGAATTTGTTGGTCTCTTTATACAACAACAACAACAACAACAAAAAACAATGAAAATTAACCCCCATGAATATGTGATTTCACAGTAATTAAAAATAAAAGGGGGACCAAATTTCCCCTATAGTATCTTATTTCCTAGAATCTGTGTACCTGACCTTCTGAAATTCTGCTAGAGATCGCTTGTGACTGGCTTGGGCTATACTTTTCATGGCCTCAACTTCTGGGCCTTGGTATTTTAAGGCTAGTTTTCCACTCAGAATTGTTTGAACTTCATCTGCCCTGTAATATAAGAAGAGGTCCATGAATCAAAACATTCTTTCAAGGCAATGTTTTTTTGGATTTACATGCATCATTATTGTTGCCTTTGGCAGTTAAGTAGCTACAATAAGATAGCTACTCCATTTGTTGTTTTTTTTTTTATTTAAAAAAAAAGAGATCAGATTTAAAAAAAAGAAAAGGGTTTCATTATTGCGGCTACATGTAGATTAGAAGATACAGAGACCTATTAAAGTTGAGATTATGACTGTTCTCAGAGGCAAACCTCACAAAGAATCACACAGATGTTCTAAGGCACAACACAAAAAGAAAAAAATGTGATACGTTTTGAAAGATATTAGCAAATTTATTTTAGGCAGTCAGAATTAGTACACTAATATTCTAGTAACTGTTTAAAAATAAACCTTTTTTCATGGCAATAAGAGATATTTGTGAGAAGTTCATTCTACAGGGACTTCATTAAAATTAACTGAATGTGCACTTGTTTAAGATGGATTCCCTTTTATCGTGCTTTACTTGCCATCTTTATCAAATGTCTTTCATCACCACCAAAATATAAAATCACATATCTTTGATGAATTTAAACACATAAAGCACTAATTTTACTTGCACAAGTTTCTTATCTAGAGATAGCCAAAATTTACATGGATCGAAATTAGAAGGAAATACTCGCAAAGTGCATGTTGATTTTTAAAAAAGCAAGTAAAAATAGCAGACACTCGAAATATTTAGGAGTGGTGATTTTCAACCTCGATTGTCTTGTATCCCGGTAATTTGTCTTTTTACTTTTTTGAAACTTTAATTGACTCACGCAAATGCTTAGATAACATGCTGATTCAAGCATCTGTTTTTATCCGTCTTTTTCTGTTATATTCATTTAGAAAATCAGAATCAAACACATGTTTTTGAGGTCACAGAAACAAGATGATTATTAATTTTTTTAAATGTAAAAACATTCATGATCCAAGATAAAAATTCTGTACTGACCCACTATAGAAGGTCCTGTATTGTTATGGTTTAAATGAAGATCATGAAAAAGGCATTTATTCATTCTTTTAATTTTAGTATGTAGATCTTCATTTAAGCCTGTGGATGTTACATGTATACGTACAGGCTAAAATGAGCCTGTGGTTAAAACAGTTAATTTCGATCCCTGATTTAGAATGTTCCTGTATTAGTGAAATTTAAATAACTCAACAACACTGTTATTTAAGACAGTTGAGTAACTTTTCCATCAGAAAGCTGGAAAAATTTAAGTGCAGAATTCCGACATGGGACAAACGTACGTGTTTAACATGATTTTACACATCAGCATGTATTTGAGTCCCGTCACAGCTTTGGGACTGTCTATGGAATCATAGCCTTCAAATGCCTCATAGAAGTAAGAATAAGCTGTTTTAAAGTCCCTCTCATCTGCAGCATGTAGAATACCTAAGACAAATCAAAATGAATTTTTAACACCAAAAATACAGTGAAAATCATGTAATCCAGACCAAATGATTTAAACTGCATCCAAATTAATGCAAATTATACAGTATATGTAATGATACTCAAAGTTTGGCAAGGAAATGTTAATATATCATGGATTCCAGAAAACTTTAATAACCATAGAAATTTACAAGTTATACTAACTGTAGTTTAAAAACTCATTGTTTACTCTCTCTTGAATTTCTGAGTCTCCTACATGAATATTCTAAGAATTAATGATAAACAAGAGGCCCAAGGGCCTTAACGGTCACCTGAGTATAATACAACAATTTAGAGGATCCATAGATTATAAAATAAACTGACAGATGAAGCTTTGTTGCCCAAAAGTGAATGGCAAGGCGGAATAACTTCTATCAGGTGAATAAAAATTAATAGAACCCTAGCCAGGACTAGAACACTTGACCAAATGGTCCTGATGTTCAAAAATCTGGTTAAAATATCCTAGCTTATTAAAACTTATGAAACATGCTGGCGTGAAGCATCGTAGTTCATGTCCTCATGAATTCTCAAAAATTAAATTCATCCCTTCAACAAACTTCACTCCTACCTACCTGACTGCATGTCTAGAGCTGCCTGCAGTTTAGGTGGACAATAAATACCATTGGCTGTTGTTCTACCAGAGGTCAAGGCTGCCCTAAAAATAAAAATAACAAATACATGTATATATTCTGCATTCACACATGTACATTTATTATGAACATTTGAGGAATTGAATAATGCATGGGTTTTCATAGTTCTGCACCTTGCCTTTGGTACATGTATATTTGACAGTGAATGATAAATCTTACTCTAAAAGTTTAACTATTAGAGGGTTCCATACCTTGCCTTTGGTAGATTTGACAGTGAATGATAAATCCTACTCTCTAAAAGTTGGACCTCAACCAACAGTGCCTTGTCATCTAATTTCTTTAGCTCTCTCAAGAGGGAGGATGCTGTGGAAATTAATATACAAACAAATTATAGGTATGTCATCATGATACGAACTCCATTAATTTTTTTTTTATGATAATTCACCTTTCTCATTCAGTGTAAGGTTCTTACCTAACTGAAGCGCCTCTGTAAACTGTTGTGTTCCATGATATAAAGCAATAAGTCTAGCCTAGAAAAGATGGAAGGAAATGTTCAGTACAGCATTACTACCAGTATTGAGATACATATCTTGAGGTACCTTGTGATACTCAGATCTAATAAATACTGCAAACTTAATAAGCACACTCAAAATTTAGTGCAGTCGTCCTTTTTCAACTAATTAGTGCAATCATAAATTAGTGTACTAGAGTTTTAATAATGACATATATTAGTTTTAATCATATATTACTAATTAGAATGTACATAAAGTAGCAGACAAAACGCAGTGCAAAAAGTGCTAAAATAATATGAATTACGTGTACGCAAAAATAGATATGTTTACAGTAGGGTGATATTCATCAATATGATTTCAAGCCCACCGATCGCATGCTTGCTAGGTTGTTCGTAACTTATTAAAGACTTAAGAGACTAAAAAGAATCACCATATAGTAATGGTGAAAAATCAAGAAGTAAGCAGAAATGACAATAAAATGAAATGGTTTACCTCCAATGCCTGTCTAAGGAAGGTTCGTTTTTCATCCTTGGCCCAATCTATACATTCTTGACAAAGCTGAACCTAAAGGAAAAATGAAAAACAATTGAAATCTTAATGATATTTATAGAAATAATGTAATACTATATACAGTGTTGTCCCTAAGACCCAGGGGGCCCGGGCATTTCCCTGCCTATAATGACATAATCCATCGGTAATTCTGGTATTCCCCCTCAACTCTCTGAGAGGGGAAGAACCTCAACAACCCTTCTAATTTTTTAGAAGAAAATTTTAATGTCTTGATCCTGCTATTTCAATTCCTAGAGACAAACCTGATATAAAGAGAAAATCATAAATTGTATTTATAAGTGTGCTTTACGTCAAACTGTTTGTTATGATTTTGTACAGGATTATGTCTAGAAAATACTGTATGTATACTTACATACAATCACAATGCACTTTGTCATGATCAACACTTATTATCAACTAGACATATTCATAAGACTCAGAACCATAAAGTACAGTAAAACACGCTTATAGTGAACATGCTTATAATGAATTGACGCTTGTAGTGAAGGGATTTTCATTCCTTTGACTTTTAAAGATATTGAACACTTTACGGATAAAACAGAATGACGCTTATAATGAAGCAAAATTGTCTGTCCCTGGCACTGTTATAAACATGTTTTACTGTACTCAAACCCCTGAAGTATGCAAAATCTTGCCAATTATTCACATTTACTTACATGTATGTAAAAATAATCTGATGAATTGTCCACAGTAAAATTTCTCTGGCATTCAATATTCAATTAACTTATGTGGCCTCCATAACTCCAGTACAAGTAGGTTTTAGAACTACTACATGAGAACACGGTTTATATTTAGCTTATACCTCTTTCCCTGTTGACGCTTCCATATCTAGAAACATGTCGACCAGTCCCCTGACCAGCTTGGCTGCCTTGGCTTTACTGACCAGACTAAGGAAAGGACGTGTGAACTTAATCAAACCTGCCAGTTCTACAAGTTAAAAATAGACAAAAAGAAAATAACATGTATATTATGTTACTGATTAAAAAATGTCAATTCAGCTCATACCCAGACTATTTTTATCTTGGGCTGTTGTGTTTCAGATGATAAAATTTGTTAAACAAAGTGAATTTTTATTATTATCTAACATTGTCAAGATTTCATAATCAAAAAATATGGTATATAACATGTACCTATATTTTTAAATTAAAATACATGTACGTGCTTATAAAGCAAAAAAAATGATTGTTATATAACTCATAAACATATCATCTATCAATTTAATTAAAAGTTGATAATTGAACATAACGCAAAGTCAGTCTATGAGCATACAGATGTAGGTGTTAAATATAAAAGTTCTCATCTGCTACATGTACTCACATTTGTTGCTGTGTAAATGTACATGTTGAATCCTATATATTTATATCATGACATAAACATCAAGAGAGACAAAATTTTATTATTTTAGACACCCATATTGTTTGTGTAGTACCTATGTTTAGGAAAATGATAGACAATAATCATCCAATGATAACAAATGAAATAATCCAAAATAAGAGAGAGTGAGACCATAGAGCATCATACCACATTGTACATGGTACATGTACACACAGTTTCTTATGCATACAAAGGTGGAGTTCATGTATTTCCATTTCAGCATGCTCACTCTGTATTTTTTTTTTTAAATACATGTATTTATAAATCATAAATAAATAATTATCATATGTATCTATTTTATAAATATATTTATAATTCTGTAGACAGTCAGTAACAGACTTATGATAGGTGATTTATTTTCTCAAGGATCTTAGTGTGAGAAACATAAACATAAGACAGGCCAGTAGCAACGTTTATCAAAAGGGGGAGGGGGTCAGCCACCAAAAAAAAGAAAGACAAGCAAGAAAAAAGAACTTTGACTGCTAAAACTCGGGTTTAGAATCTTCCTCTAATAATGTATGTATACTTCAAAATGCAGGCTTTATATTTTAGTGGCTTTGGCGCAGACAACGGTGCACTAATTCATGAATATCGCTTAGAAATCATTTATAAATACAATATACGGCACAGACATATATAGCGCTATTTCGTGACCTCACCATACCCAGTAGTTGCGCTATATATTGAATACGCCAATTTATGTACTGTATGTATACTTCAAAAAGTGGGCTTTATATTTTAGTGGCTTTGGCGCAGACAACGGTGCACTAATTCATGAATATCACTTAGAAATCATTTATAAATACAATATATGGCATGGACATATATAGCGCTATTTCATGATCTCACCATACCCAGTGATTGCGCTATATATTGAATACGCCAATTTATGTTCATGTACAGTAATTGGGATTTTTAAAATGCAATATTAACCAAACAAACTTCCCAGCCTACTGCAAAGAAATGCGTGTTTGTGTGTGTTAAGGCTGAAAAGATTCATCGAAATATTGATACTCTTCAATATAATTGCTTGATTCAATGTTCTATAATTCATTATCTCAATTTTTGGTTATATCGGGCTCAATTCCATTTCAATAGTTTGGAGAGAATGGTGACAGGGAAAGTGTCAGAGCAGGCTGCTATTGATATTGATATGAACAATAACCAACAAGTTGAATGCGAAAGTCCACTGGGACATAACCGTTCCGTTCGGGAGTATGGAAGCACTTCGGTTTTAAAATTTTTACTGTCAATGGAAGGCAAGTAACGAATGTGAACGTAATGAATAGATGATGTGTAGAATTTGTTACAATAATGTTAGCTACAAGGTTGGGATATTATATGTGTACAGAGGTCCTCACTCAGTGGGAACATTGCTGGGAAGCTGATTTTTTTTTTTCAAATCAAATCTTCAAGTTCCATGTGACTAGTATTATACTGGCATTTAATTTTATTTAAAATTATTTCATCACTTTAATCTATAGATTATGAAGCACAATATTTTGAATACGTTTTCTTCAACCTTATGATTTTTTTTTTTTTTAAACGTTTTAAATGATTTTTAATATCGAAATTTAAATACAATGTGTCAGCCATATTGCCAGATATTGAAAATCTCACCTGCTGGACATAGAAATATAGCCGGCAGTCATGTGTCTCATTTAAGCAAATAGTCATAAATGTGCATCATTTCATTTTGAGGGAAAATAATTCTATAATTAGTCAGTAGTTAGTCTCAAACATAATTTATACATCTTGAATATTACATCCAAACCACTTTTCTTTTTATATATCTTAACCTTGGTATCTCAAATCCTTGGATGTCTCCAATTTTTTTCTTTTCTTTTTTTTTTGGGGGGGGGGGGGGGGGGGAGTGGGGTTCCAACTGAGTTTGAGAACACAAAGTTTTATAGTAAAGATAAAAAGGTATGGTTTTCCAAAAGAATTACAAACCACCTTTGGTTATTTGACATACCTTCAGCCTGTCCTGTTTCTGCTAACAGTGCTCCTAAATCTAATATTGCCTGCTCTTTGGTTTTAATGTCATTTTCATTGTTTGTATCGACATTTCTCTTCACTAAAAAAAAAATGTAAATTTTGAGAAATTCGAACGAATCCCCCCCCCCCCTCTTAAAATTTCAAGTTTATAAACATGAACGTTTTTCATTTGACTTAGAACTTTTCTTTTCATGTAATGTACACTGTAAATCTATACAGTGTTTCCTCGTTTTAAGTTTTGACTAAACAGAACAACACACGATGAAGTAGCAAAATTGAAGACCGGTACGCATAAAAAGTTCTAGGCTAGTTAGTATATTCTTGAGATTATGTTTTTAGTTCTCCATCTCACAGTCAATATAGAAAACATTACCAATGTTATATAAAATATCTATCGCAGCACTTTTGTTGGTAACTTTCAACGCTTGAGCTTTCTCCAGTTCCATGCTGTTGTTTACAATGTAATCGCCACAGTTATCTTTCTTGCATCCTAAAAGCTTTACTTTTTCTCATTCGGATTAAAACGGAAATAAGTACGGAAGCTTGTAACTTTGAATTTCTTTCTTTTCAGTGAATTGATACACGCATTAAGATTACTTATGATTAAAAAAAATATGCAGATTGCAGATATCCTTGTTTTGTCATCTTATTTGTCAAAAGCCTGTCTCGTTTTAGAAATTGTTCGTATGTAATAGAACATGCTGTTTAAAATACCACAACAAACCTACTGAATAAAGTAATAGGTTTTACTTTGTTTTTTGTTTTGATTTGTTTTGTTTTGTTTTGTTTTGTTTTTTTTTTGTTGTTGTAAACAGTTGTTTTTTTGTTGTTTTTGTTTTTGTTTTTTTGTTTTGTTTTTGTTTTTGTTTTCTGTTTGTTTGTTTTGTTGTTGGTGTTGTTGTATAAAAGAGTATGATTTGCTCATTTTATCGACCATGGAATTTGCGAAATGTTGACTTCAAAGGAGACTGTTGTTATTCTTGTTTCATCAACTTGTTTGTCAGTAGCTTGCCTCGTTTTAGAAATTGTTCATACGGGGAGCATGCTCTAATGGGTGACATAAATTCCATATGGAGGTGATAAGGGATATATATTGCAACAAAAATAAGGAAACTTGACAATAGAAAAGTTCAAGTCATCACGTTTAACATAAAGCTTTGTTGTTAGGTTACCATTAATGTGTCAGACTCCGTGGTATCTCAGGTTTTATTTCAAATTCACTAAGATATATATCGAGTCGACAGATGATTGGAAGTAACCATCGTTATTTGAAAATATGTCGTCGATATATCGAAATGTCGAGTTGAAGGCCATGGCAAGTTTTGTACTACGTCTCATGTAGAAGTTTTTGAATAGTTTCTGCTTCATATGAATATAAAAATAGGTCTGCTAATAAAAGGGCACAATTAATGAGATAAAATTAATGTATCAACCAAGACATTAAGGTAGTCCGATCCCCAGGTCCTGAAAATCAGGAGTTAGGTTATAAAAATGCTGACAAAAATGTCTCTGAATCCTTAGAATAATGTGTATTTACCCATGATTTTTCTTCAAATTTCATCATTAAAGTTAATCGTATTATGTAGGGAAAATTATCAAATCTCAAATATATTTTTTTAGGAAATGCGAATCAAAGTACCTGCTATGCATTCTCTAATTTAAAATTGTTTAACAAATGTATCTCACAATTAAAATTATAGGTATCCAGGCATTTTGAAAAAAATTGCACGTTTTTCATACGTATTCGGTACTTTAGTTCTCCCATTTAGTTCAATTCTTATAAAGTACTACATAGTGCAAAACGTTTGTACTATCAATATAAGACATCATAGATCACTTCCAATTTCAATCATGCTAAAAAACATTCGTATCTAAGGCTAGATTAAAAGAAATTTGATTTCTATAAAAATGCGTTTATTTTTGCACTTCATGGGGGTAAAAATGCAAACTTTTACAAGACCTTTCCTAAGACTTCAAAGAATCTTGATTCATAATGAGATGCATAGAGTAAAAATTGTTGCACGAAAAGATTTCAATTTTAAACTTAATTTTGAGACTTTTTAAATTAAATGATAATTTTAAGAGTTATCCTTCCTAGCTGAGGATCGGATATCCTTAATTTCAAGAGAAAAAAAAAATCTTAAGATTAAAATATCTGAGGTTGAAGTTTAAAAAAAATATCAATATATGTTACTTACACTGAGAGCTACCCAGTGTAAGCATTAAGTGAAAAGGTCGCATATGCAGTACAATTAATGCATGACATGTACAGGTACACGAAACAGGTTGGTTCACGTGTCTATTGCCTGAGATTACCAGAAATATAAGCTTACCTACGTCCTCCAGAAATCTCGAATTTATCCTTATCTCGCAAATGCTTAGCAGTTATCTTGTGAAATTTGCATAAGGTAACGCTGGATGTACTCAAATGATCTCCCTTTGAACGACGTAAGTACAACGTTCATTGGAATAATGCTATTATAAATATAAGGTCTCAGTGATGACCAGATGGCGAGAGTACTACTTGCAAAGCAGATACAGTACTGACAGGTGTGTCTTTCTCTTCCGTTGGACACACAAAAAGTAGTCATAATGAAGATTTTTATTGATAAATAGAAAATATATCAGAAAGACAGTACTGTTCAAAGACTACAAAAATTATCTGATATTAAATTCTTCATAACAGGAAGAGAAAAGGTTCATGTACTTTATTCTTCATTAAATGCTACAGAGATTTTCTGTTAATGCATTTCTAGTCTAATACAATGCCAGCAAGGGTAAACATAATAAATTTTATGATATATTCACGACACACCTAATCAAAAATATCATTTTGAGTAATGAATAAGATCATAAACAATTGAAGAATAATATGGAAGTTTACATCTATTGTGAATCGTTGAGGAGAATTAAAATCTCCCTCCCCCCTCTCTCTCTCTGAATTTTGCTTTGCACCAAAGGAATTAAAGTATACATGCACGCAATTGAAATTCATTTGTTCTAGAATGAACATTAGACATCTCAAGTGATCTCCATTTGTACGGCGAACAAGTATAATGCATCAGTTGAGTCTTGGCATTTCAAGATTTTTATTTGGCTTTGCTTTGTGTCTTATGTAGTTAAAAAAATATCAGGATTTCAAAATTATTTACGCTTCAAAATTATTTACGCATAAATGATGTTAACCAGTGAAATTGCAAGCTTTTTGTCAAGATTAAAAATTTCACGCAATCCGAAACATCGAAGATAAATTTCATATATTTTATTATTTAAAAAAGTAATTGTGGGTTCTTTATTGATCTTGTAACGGCAAAGCGTAGCAATGTATCTAACACTGATGCAAAAAGGAAATCGTATGACAGTTATCATTAAAAAAAATCATTTATCTACATAAGTCTAGGAATTAAGTCAGTTAGAACTGTCACGCTTTCGATTGATAGCGGTGAACGGTTTCGTGTCACGTGATGACTAGAGTTCAGCTCACAAAACAGTTACTTTTCAAAGACTGCAACAATGACTTTGTATTATATTCTTCACAACAGAAAGAAAAGTTTTGTATCGTTTTTAATTCAACAATGAGCATGTGCCTTTTTTAGTCACATCCTTGTCATTGCTATATCTTAATTCGTACGAAAAATGCATTCTTAATCATTTTAAAGAATAAGTTTTCATGCTATTTTGATCCTACAAAATTAACACAGTCACAACTCTGATTTATGCAGACAAGACATGAGTTTCAAGAACCGAAAATGTATTAAGATTCAAATATCTGAGGTTAACATTTATTTTAAAAACACTGTATTCCCTTAGAATACGAGCGATTTATTTGCTCAAGCATAAGGTTCACAGGTTGCATTTGCAGTACAATGCATGTACATGCATGTGCAGATACATGAAGCAAGTTGGTTCACGTGTCTTTATTGCCTGAAACAAGCAGAAATATTAGCCCACCACTACTCTCCAGAAATCTCCAATTTATACTTATCTCTCAAATGCTTAGCAGTTATCTTGTGAAATTTGCATAAGGTAACTCTGGATGTACTCAAACGATCTCCCTTTGAACGACGTAAGTACAACGTTCATTGGAATAAAGCTAATTTAAATGTAAGGAGTCGGTGACGAGATTGCGAGAGTTCATCTTGAAAAACGCACAAAGTACTGTTCAAAGTCTTCAAAATTTACCTGATATTAAGCCCTTCAAAACAAGCTCGATTTCGTTACAGAGATTTACTGTTAATGCATTTCAAATTTTACAATTTCACGTAGTGTATTGCCGAGAAAGGTAAACAAAACATATTTCCTAATACACTTTACGTTACACTTAGTTAGAAATGTTATTTTCAGAAATAAATGGCATCAAAATAGACTGAATAACAAAATGGAAGTTTTTGTCTATTGTGAAATTTTGAGGCGAATTGAATTCTCTCTCTGTGTGTGTGTGTTTCTCTCTCTCTGATTTCATGCTTGAAATTTTGCTTTGTACCAAAGGAATTAAAGTATACATGCACACAAATATCATGCAGCAGTGGTGTCTTGGGATTTGAAGATTTTTATTTGGCTTTGGTTTGTGTCTTATGTGGTTAAAATAATATCTGGATTTCACAATTATTTACGCCTCAAAATTATTTACACATGAGCTTTTCGTTAAGAATACGAATTTCACGCAATCTGATACATGGTAGATAAATTTCATAAATTTTATTATTTAAAAAGTAATTGAGGGTTCTTTATTAATCTTGTAACAACAATGCGTATAGTAATGTATCTAAGATGAATGCAAAAATGCAATCTTATGACAGTTTTTACGAAAAACATTTATCTGCATAAGTCCACAAAGCCGGTTAGAGTTTTCAAGCTTTCGATTGACAGCGACAACGGTTTCTGGTCACGCGATGACTAGAGTTCAACTCACAAAACAGTTACCTTTCAAAGACTGCAACAATGACTTTGTATTATATTCTTCACAACAGAAAGAAAAGTGTTGTATCGTTTTTAATTCAACAATGAGCATGTGCCTTTTTAGTCACATCCTTGTCATTGCTATATCTTAATTCGTACGAAAAATGCATTCTTAATCATTGTAAAGAATAAGTTTTCATGCTATTTTGATCCTACAAAATTAACACAGTCACAACTCTGATTTATGCAGACAAGACATGAGTTTTTGAAGAACAGAAAATGTATTAAGATTCACATATTTGAGGTAAAAATTTATTTACTAAAACACTGTGTCAATTTGTGGAACTTAAGAGTGATTTATTTGCTCAAGCATAAGGTTCACAGGTTGCATTTGCAGTACAATGCATGTACATGCATGTGCAGATACATGAAGCAGGTTGGTTCACGTGTCTTTATTGCCTGAAACAAGCAGAAATATTAGCCCACCACCACCCTCCAGAAATCTCCAATTTATACTTATCTCTCAAATGCTTAGCAGTTATCTTGTG